AACCCTTCCTCACTTTGTACAATACTTTGGTCTGAAGCTCCAAGTTAAACCTCAAGTTGTGTACAGACTACTGGGAGAGGTAGTGAGCCAGTTACAGGACTAAGAAAAGGAGGACTCTGGGAAATCTACAATCTGATAACAGGCTCCAGGGAAACAAAGAATATTACTATTTTTCAATGAAAATTAGGAATGGCGAACTGAAAACCAAGCAAGCGATAACCGCTCATTAGAAATGTAGGAACTAAAATTTTACTTTAAAGGCAACCTGCCATGAAATATGGGGGGATGCCTGCTCAACATTTAAGGCTACTTGGCCTTTTAGTCTCTAGCTTAAAGTGACATTAAACCCTCAGATTGTTTAACACAAACCAATACTGTAATGTGTGCCTTACTGTAATCCATGGTTGTTTCCCCTTCTCTTTGCTGCTCTTCCTTTTAAATCCTCATGTCTTCTCATGCTCTGCAGAACTTCCCTTTGCAGCTCAGGGCCTCTTCCTGTAGTGCTGGCTCAGATTACAAGCCTATAGAAACTAATACACAGACACCGTATATCCATTCCAGAGACAAGGCAGTCTGCTGCAAAACAGAAGTTCTGCAGAGCATGAGAAGAGATACAGATTTAAAAGGAAGAGCAGCAAAGAGAAGGGAAACAACCATGGATTACAGTAAGGCGCACATTACAGTATTGTTTTATGTTAAAAAATCTGAGGGTTTAATGTCACTTTAAGTCATCGACTTGAAACAAGCATGCAGAAAGTAAGGGCCCATTCACACAGGCAGCTGGCAAAATATGAATTCTTGCCAGCGGAGAAACTATCCCTATGCACACAGTGTGCAAACAGCAGAGGCGCTGCCAGATTTGTCCCCTGTACAAATCAATGGCTGGTGCTGCCGCTTTTCGCATGTAATGCTCATCCAAGTGGTTACATGCGATTAGGGACTTTGACCAGCCCTGGATACAGACAGTTGGCATCCAGTGATGGTCTTTCTGGCCACAGCTGATCATCCAGTTTGCATGTGGCCATAGCACAGAGTGCTACCACATCCAGATGCACCGTTTAGTCCAGGGATAAGCACCGCTGGTCCTACAGCTGTGCCTTAAAAATTCTAACACGCTTCTGGGAGTCATGCCTGTAACTGTCAGTCTTGCAATGACTCCTGGGGCTGGCAGTTCCACAACAGCCGGAGGGCCAGAATTGCCCTCCCGTGGTGTAGCCACATCTGAACACAGCAGCATATTGCCCCTCATTCCCAGTCTGGAAATTATCTTCATGTGTTTCTATACTGGTATGCAGTGTCTAGCATAGCCCTAAGGTTGCAAGTCATGCTCATTCATGCTCATTATGCTCATTCTGGTCATTCTGGCATGACAATATCACCAATTCCATATGCAATACAAACTGTGTGTAAGGGTCTGACCCTTTCTAAAATAAAAAAAAAAAAGCCTCTTTCAATGGCATTTTTTTAAAATATCCAGTATGTCTACATTCAGCGACATCTTACATTAATCACTACAAGTGACACAAGCCATCTAAAACAATGTGATGCAATGCAAAGAATCACAATTAAGATCTGACTGTCAGACCCTGACTCCGGCAAAGTATTCATTCATTACAGTGTCCACATACAAAGCCGTTTTCTTCTCTTTAAATCACCTAATTCATTCATTTATGACCCAAGACCGTTCATGACACTTCCATACTGAGGGGGAATCATCAAAATAAGTAAGATCGCAGCCAATAAGTTAGTTGGAACCCAACTTGCAGCCACAGAGCAGCAACACAGTTCTAACCACCTTGTCGAGTCCACCATTAAACTTTACTTATTGTGATCAAAATATAACAGGTATAATTTGTTTCGGTTTTTCTATATTAAAAGAGATCTCTGATAATTTAATGAACATCCCTGACAGCGTTGGGGGGGGGGTGAAGGTTTTCTTGGATAAAATATACATACGCTCGCATCTGAACACTGACATCTAGTGGGCTCACTTTGCACTGTCAAAGCCTAATAGGTATTTCGGTGGAATTGATTTAATGTAGATTGATTTAATGATGAATACTTTTAAAATGGATCCCGATAATCCCATCATTAAAAGGAGAACTATGAGGCGAGTGCTTTTCACTCACCTCATAGTTCTAGCCGACCTGTGACAATGAGACTGTCGCAGGTCGGCTCAGTAGATCGGGAGGTGAGCGAACACATACCG